ACTTTCCTTATGTCTCTTAAGTAACAGCCTGTTGGACACCAGATACATCCTCTCGATGTAGGACCACTTCTAGATGGCATGTCGTGGTTATATTTTGTTTGATGCTTCTAATTTATAAACCTTCACAAAGAGTTGGCTTGAGACTGCATGGAAACCTGCAAGTAGCATCTAATTATCCCTGCCTCTCTCTGCTGCAGCATGTCCACACGCAAAGCACAGAGGTATTATTGCTTCTTTAAAATAGTGTGAGCACCTCACCTGGTGCAGGTGCATTGGTGAAATACCTTGTTTCATTGAAAAGGTATAAAATATGCTTGGTTTATACTTAGCTTGCCTTCAAATAAATCACACAAACACCTAAAAGTAAGGTTGCCTTTACTCCACGATATAAAAATAAAAATTATTAGTGAGAGATGGGACTTATGTTTCTTTCAAAACAAGCAGAAATCTTGACTATGTTGCAATTTCTTATCTTTGCATACCATTTTATTAGTCTACAAAAATTCCACATATTTGTATCTGTCTCTTTTTAAGTAGCTATTTATATGATGCATATTTGGGTGTGCGCAAACTTGCAACACATGTAAAAGTGAGTAATGAAATTGTATTGTTTGAGACTGTTTTGCAAAGTTTGTGTTTACATAATCCCTATATTTATTACTTTAGGTACTAAACAACATCTACAAAATTTATTCAGATTATTTATTCAGGGAAGACGCATAAATTATTATTTATGAATTTTGTTAAATTTCAAAACATATATAGGCATTAAAGCAATTAAAATTTATAAAACAAGAAATGTCTGAAATGTCTCTAATCATTATGAGATTTGTGGAAGAAAAATTGTTAGAATATTCACATACACACTAGGTTCCTAATCAGATATTGCGGTCTATCATGAGGAGAGCTGATACAAAGAAGAAACTTACTCAAAACACATATAACATCTTACCTAAGTTTGTAGAAGAACGAGTTTTATAAAAACTAGTAACAATTGAAAAGAACATGAGTCAATACTTACATTATAATACTAAGAACTCTTTCTGACTTGAGTAATTTCCTCCTATACACTCTGTCTTTCATTTCAATTAATATACAATTTATAATAATTTACAAAAACTGCTTTTTCCTTATAATTAGTGTTATTAGAGACCATCAAGATGTCTCAAGAGATAAATTTAGCCAGAAATAGTTGTTTCCTTCTGTAGTAGTTATGGTTAGATTTCTTTATGTGTAGCACTCACATGAGTGTGCAGGTGTGCGCTCACTTGCACATACACCCATACAGCATGTTGACATAACCAGAAGATCACTTGGGGGTAACTCTGTGGATCATCATAGAAATATGCTCCTTTTAAATTGTCTTTCTGTACATTTTCATGTTTACTACTCAAGGATCACTCCAGATTTCCTCTGTTTCACAATCAACCTGAAATATATGGAAGGAGAAAGTAATGTCCCCAAACCTGAAGAACAGGAACTAGTGGTGATGTTCCTCACTGCCACCTCTGCCCCATTGGTAAGAACCTTGTCACACAGACCAACCAGATGGCAAGTGGCATTTAGAATGGTGTGAAGATTCAGATGGTTGGAGTTAATGTAAGACATATAAACTTTTTATAATTGAGCATCAAATTGAATGCATATCAAAAAGAATTAATGCTTAGTTAATAATTTTTTGATATTTATATAAATATTTTTCAAAATAAATTTAAACTACCAATTACATATTTTGCAATATTTAAATGAATGACTCTCATGTTTATTTGATTTAGCATTGCATCCAAGGACTAATAGTGTTCAATGTAGTTAAAAATAAAATGGATAATGCAGGAGAAAATATGAAATACATTATTAAGATCCCACCACAAAAGTTGATATCATGCTGGTGGGGCAGAACCCATAGTATCCTAACAATTCTTTGCTTCTTCCTATAGCTTTGCCATTGTCCTTGACTCTTCGTTACTCTGGAAAGGCTTTTGTCGCCATTCAGTCTCATCTTCGAAATTTCACACTGCTTTCAGCAGTAAATAGTAATTTTTCATTCTAATTCATCTCTCACCAATCCAGGCTCTGAATAAGGTTCATCTCACATTCATCACTGTCTATTTTGATGATGTCTTCTTTGATATTTTTACTATCAATAAAAGCTCAAGATGCAACACTTCTAAAACTCATTGAATTCTTGAAAACAGTAATCATTCCATGACACTCTTATTTCTAGTTTTTAGGGTAATTCATTATTGATGAGTAAAGTGTTTCATGATATTTCTCGATTATTCTGGTAGTATGTTTTCACACTTCAAAACTTACAGTGTGTAAGTAAAGCATTTTTCAAAAACAAAACAAAACAAAACAAAAATACCTAATGCACTTATTAAACTATAGTTCTAAATGGAAAATATTCCAAAGCAAGTTTGCTAAAGAAAATTGCTCAATTACTTTTTAAATTTATATAACATTTGATAAATGTTTAGTAAATATATTTAATATATTTATACTCAGAATTAGTCTAATATGAAATTACTTTCTATAATGCATGCTTCGACTACTAACTTACCTCTAAAATTATCTAAATAATTTTGTGAAATATGTTAATTATTTTTCAACAGTCTCTTAATTTTTAGAGGAAAAATGAAGCATTTCAAATTATTTAACTTCTAAAGCATTCCTTGGGGGAGTTTTGGTTCAGTTATCTTGAAAACTGAATGAAAGCTGATTTTACTCAGTCTCTTAGTAAGATATTTCAAAATGGATTGTTTTGTGACTGCATCATATTACGTTAATATCAATACTATAGGTCAATGAAAATAAGACTTTCAAATATTACAAATTTGCTGTTTTTGCATTTTTGCTTTCTTTTTATAAATCACTTGACACAATTCACTTATGTTCCCTAAATTTTGAATATTTTAAATTCTTGACATAAAACTCACTAGAACTCTAACAATATCTTTCACATTGTTCATTTAATTCATAATGAAACAAGAATGTGAATTTAAATAAGTGTCACAACACTGAACACTTGAGAATCAATTGAGTAAAATCTAATTGTTCATTTTTTCCCAGAACTGATGCTTATGGGACAAGATTCTACTGGGAATTCATTAAAATTGTTTATTCCTAATCAGACCATTATCTTATATACCAAACATACAAAACTAGTTATTGACCAAGATTTGCAGATGGCCACATTACGCTGGGCACCAGCTGTGTCAGAGAACTGAGTTAGTGATTCATAGGGTACTTTTGATCTCTCTTCCTAAAGTCTCTGTTTTTTATGGGCAAAGCAACGGATAAGAAAAATATCCCATCTGAACTCTCTGGAAGAAGGAAGGTATGCCTGAGTCCCAGATAATAACTGAAAATCCTAGGAATCTTTAGCTGCTATAAAGATGCACAGGAAAAATTTTCTGTGTCTTCTCATCCTCAATCTAAGGGGCACACTCCCCAGTGAGCACAGGTTCCCTTATTGTCTCTTTTTGTTTAAAATATAAAATTATAGCAAATAATTCATTTTCACTCACTTCAACCCACACAGTGCAGAGGTTTTGTTCAGTTAGTCTGAAGCTATTTTAACTTATCTTTAATCTTCTCCAATTTTATCAAACATACTTGCAATGAGCCTTACTATAAAAGGCACATAAATCTGTACTATGTTGAGTTTATAATTAATGTGAAGGCAAAGATAGTAAATTACTCAATATAACACAGAATTAAATATTTGCTACATATGAACACAGTGAACATGTTTGTGGGAAGACGGAAATTGGTATTTTTCAATGAGATGTCACTTTGAAAGATCTTAAAGAAATCAACTGTTAAGGGAGATGTTCTGAGTAATGAAGAAACAAAAGAGAAACTGAAGAACCATTATGAATGAAAACTGAGGGCACACCAAAGGTTCTTCAGGGCAATGATTATATCTTGTGCTAATTGCTATGAGGATAAAAGGAAAACATCTTTTTTTTTGTCTTTAAAAATCTTTACTGGCCCTATTATGCATCCACATCATAATAGCTATGTTCCCATAGGACATCTCCTGTGACATTTATCCCACTGTCTATTCTGCCTTCCTGGCCCCTCTGCACTGAAACATTTTAAAGAGCAAGGATTCTCTGCAAAGGTCTCTATACTGAATGCCCTCAGGGACCTTTCAAGTATATTTTTTAAAATTTTTGGATGAGGGATTTACCTCAGCAGTGTAAGCATGCCTGGTAAGCATGAGGTCGTGAGTTTGAACTCCAGTACCAAAAAAATCCCCCAAATCCAAAAAATTATGTTCTGTTTTAATAGAATTATTAATGAGTTAAGAGAAGAATAAACATAATATTCAGTTTCTTTAAAAGTTTGGTATTCTGCTTATGATTCATTTATCTCTAAAATGGACCTGAATGAAAGAAGCTCAGAAAACTGACTCAGAACAAGTTGTCTGGAAATGGACACAAGGTCAAAGACATTCAAGCATCCAGGTGCAGCTCTCAGAGCAGAACAGGAAGCAAGGGAAGGAAGAATTGGGCCATTCGGAGTTCATGGGGAGCTGCTCAGATGAGATGGGGCAGAGTCCCACAGGTGCTGTCAGGATTGAAAAGACAGGGCAGGCTGTGGAAGGAGGAGGAGTTAGTGGGATGGTTTGCAGTGTGTGTGTGTGTGTGTGTGTGTGTGTGTGTGTGTGTGTGTGTGTAGGGGCTCTACATTTCTTATAAAACTCTAATGAGCACATTTGTCATAAAGACACAGAAACCCGCCATGTAAAACCTAGGTGAGCAAAACTTGCACGTGGAGGCAAATTAATTTGTTCCCATGGGATGTTTTGCAGTCCATTTGGTATCATTAATATTTTCTTGTGATTTTAACATTTATTGCACATTTTTACTGCATTGTAAGTGACATGCAATTCAGCACTTTCAAGGTTACAGATCAGTAGGGGGATGATAAATTTATGGTGTTGTACAAACATAAGCGTTTTTAACTTGCACTTTCCATACCAACCCATGTAGAGCTCCACAGCTTTAACAGTCCGATCCAGTGTGTCCTTGCCACGGCTGCTGGCGGGCCCCCAGCTGGTTTCTAACTCTGTGAATTTGCCTATTCTGAATCAAACAAGTGGATTCTGACAGTGGATAGGTTCTGCGTGTGGTTTCTCTCATCTCATATGTTTTAGGTTCATGTAGGCTGTGGCAGAATTCATTAATGTATTCATTTTATTGCAGAATTTTGCTTGTTCGGTATACCACACTTTGCTTCTCCATTCCCCACTGAATAAGAATGACATGGATTCCTCTGAGGCTGTTTTTAGCAATGTCACTTTATATACTCAAGTACAGTTTTTGTGGGGGTGCACATCTATTCTTGTACGATGTGCACCTAGCTATGAAACTGCGGGGCCACATCGTAACTCTTGTTTTTCAAATTCTGATAACTGCCACTTTGTTTTCTAGCAGTCTACTATTTTACAAAGGTACAAACTGTATAACGGTTGTAATTCTTCACCTTGTTGCCAACACTTACTCTCATTTATCTTTTGGTTACAGTCTCCCTGAAGGACATAAAATGCTCACTTACTGTGGTTTTATACAAAATTTCCTTAATAATCAAGGCTGATACAGGTATTTTCACATACTTAGCAGCCTCTCTTATAATTTAAATGAAGCAGTGCTTATTCAGAGTCTCTGAAAATTTAAAATGTTGGCTATTCATCTGTCTATTTACTTACTTCTTTAAGTTCTGAGAACGGAGTACAGGCTGTGTACTCCCCAGGCAGGTGTCCTCATGCTCAGGTATGATATTACTGGGCCTGTCCTTTTAATCTCTAGGTTGTAAAACTTTACTTTTAATGACTACTAATGGAAAATTATTATCCAGGTACAGCATTTGAAATCATTTTTCTTTTTCTGTCTGTTTTCTTTTCAAGATACACATATTGTTTACAAAAATTTCCAATTTTCATGTTCAATTTACTAATACATGTTCTGCTTCTGATACACTTTCTAAGACTCCTTTTCCAAACAAAAGACCTCATGTATCTCTGTCTTGTGTCATTATATTGAAATGATTAGAAAATGACTATTACATTTAGTCCTGTGATTTATTTTAGGTAAATTATAGTGGATATTCTAAGAATGCAGTCCATATTAAATTTTATCTCTAATTTGCTAATTGCCCCAGAATCATTTGATGAAATAAAGTATTCATTCCCAGTTGAAATATTACATGTTAGGTCATTGCACATGTGACTTTATACTTTGTCAGTCAGTTCCATTATCACAGTGTCTTGCTCAACATAACAATACAGAATCTTTCCAAAAGAGTAAATATGAATCCTTTAATTCCAATCTTGTATTTCATATTTGGTGGGATTACACAGGGTTGCTTATGTTTTCGTTCAGTTTTGTCACTAAACTGTCAATATTTCCATATAATATAGCTGACATTTTTACAGAGTTGCACTGAAATTTTAAATCAACTTCAGAAGTATTAAAATTTCCCACTATTCTATATTTTCATTAATGTACATGATTGTCAATTGATGAAGAATTTTATTCCACTCAGTGGTGTTTAACAATCATATATACAAAGCTATACATATCTTGTCTTTAATTCACTCCTAAGCTTGTTATTCTTTTATGGATACTATTCAAAATGGAGTTTCACTGCTAATTTCAAGTCTGTAGCATTACAATAGATTTTTATTGTTTTCTTCTAATACATTCATTAATATATCCCTTTGTTATATTTTTATACAATCCTTATATTTTCTATTTAAATTTATGTGATTTCAAACAGAGCAATGGATAATACTTGGCTTTTGTATTCAGGAACAAAACATTATTATTCATAACAATGAAAATATAGATAATATAAATATGTATATCTGGTATTTATTTGTTTGCCTCATATTTCTTAGATCTAAACATCTTTCATGGTTGACCAGTATCAGACTCTGGCTAAGAACTAGAGACAAGAGGATGAAAATGAGAAAATTATGCTTTACATTTCATTTTGTGATATGAGAATAGAGAAGTATCATAATTCTCTTGCTTTTCATGAAATGCCCAGAAGAAAATGGCAAATCAAAATCATTCCACAGTGAGTGAATTTATCCTCACTGGATTAACAGAGAAACCAGAGCTCCAGCTGCCCCTCTTTCTCCTCTTCCTGGAAATCTACGTGTTCACTGTGGTGGGGAACCTGGGTATGATCACCCTAATAGGGCTCAGTTCATCCCTGCACACCCCCATGTACTACCTCCTCAGTAGTCTCTCCTTCATTGACCTGTCCTGTTCCACTGTCATTACCCCCAAAATGCTGATCAGCTTTGTGACAGAAAAGAACATGATCTCCTACACTGAATGCATGACTCAACTCTATCTCTTCGTGTTTTTTATTATCTCAGAGTGTCACATGTTGGCTGCAATGGCGTATGACCGCTATGTTGCCATCTGCAGCCCCCTACTTTACAATGTCACCATGTCTCCTCAAGTTTGCTGCTGGATGGTAGCTGGGGTGTACAGTGTGGGTTTGGTTGGTGCCACGGCTCACACCGTCTGCATGTTGAGGGTGGATTTTTGCAGTGCTCATGTAATAAACCATTACTTTTGTGATCTACTTCCACTACTGGAGCTCTGCTGCTCAAGTACGTTTGTTAATGAGATAGTGCTTCTGTGCTTAAGTGCTTTTAATTTATTCCTCCCAACACTGGCTATACTTTCCTCCTACATCTCCATCATCGCCAGCATCCTCCGCATTCGCTCGACCTCAGGCAGGTCCAAAGCCTTCAGTACTTGCAGCTCCCACATCTCAGCAGTAGGTGTCTTCTTTGGTTCTCTTGCATTTATGTATCTGCAGCCTGCATCAGTCAATTCCATGCACCAGAGTAAAATGTCATCTGTGTTTTACACTATTATCGTCCCTATGTTAAACCCCCTGATATACAGTTTGAGGAATAGGGATGTAAAAATTGCCTTAAAAATGTTCTTTGACAACAAATGTGTACTGCTGCATTAGTGAGGTTTTGTTGCTGTGACCATAAATTTAGAAAGAAAAGTAACTCACAGGATGAAATATGTATTTTGCCTCATGGCTGCTGACGTTTCCACCATGGATCACTGGTTTCACTGCAGAAGGCTCTGAAGTCACAGAGTTACTGAGAACACTGCTCACGTCATGGTACATAGGAAGCAAAGGGAAGAAAAAGAACAGGAGTGAAGGCTCAACTTCAAAGGCTCACCTTCACTGATCTACTTCCTATACCAGGCCAAAGCCCTGAAAGATAATTTAGTAATGTCTCTCTTCGTGGTTCATTCATTAATGGAGTTAGCACCCTGCTAATCCAGTAACTTCAGTCAGTGTCTATTAATTGATGCTGTTGATAATCAAGTATAACCATCATATATGACAAAAGGAATATTTTTATTAAGTAAAATTTTATAATTTCTGTGATTCCATGGGGGGAAATATTCAACTATCATGTATGTTTGACAAATTTAGAATTTATTCGTGTTAGTAGGTTATTTGGAGAACAATTGCAAGAATAGGCCTTTATTCACAGGGTCAGACACAGAGAATGTGACTTGAGATGTCCTAAAGTTCGTTCACTCAGGGTAATGTACATACTTCTTAAAACTGATGACTGTGTGTTTTTTCTTGTGTGTAACATTGCTTCTTTTACATAAGGCTTATATTATTTGAAGTGATATGTACATTTGGTCAGTGTCTTGTGATAATCTGACTATTGTGTTTATTTTGTTTTCTTATATAAATTATTGTCAAACATTTCAAAAATCTGTACTGTAAAAATAAATATTGTTGACCATTTGGAATATATAAAATACCACTTAGAATTCTTACTGCTTGTGTAGAATTATAAAAAGAAATATGGACTCATACGATATGTGGTAAGAAATTCCTTACCCACAAGGAGATAACAATACACTAGACAGTGTTTACAATATTAACCAGAACTGAAAACAGTAGATATATTTTAACATATGTTTATCTAATTGCTTGTTCCAAATGTTGGGGATGATTCCACCTCCACATTTTCCTGTCACTTGTGGATTCATTTTCTCTTGTTCCAAAGAGACCATATTTTATTTTTCCTGCAATACGAACTCAGGTTTAAAATTGGCTGTCTTTCACTATTGTAATTAATGTGAGTTCTTTACTGTTAGGAAAGCTAGAGATGACAAATTTTTTCTGAGTAATGACAAATAACACTTCTTCACAAACCTCACTATCTAGTCAGGGCAAAAAACAAAATACATTTTGGGGAACATATTTTTAAGACAACAAATTTCCTTCTCTAGTTAGCCCAGTTATGCTGGTGCACATGAAAAATTGCAATCCAAAAATTCAAGGTTCTGAAAAGTCATCATTCTCCTGATTAAGTTTTACTGTGTCTTTATGGGCATACATATATGAGATAAATAAATATATACATTATACGTCAATCTGCATCACACATCAATATGTTGGAATTTAATTTGTACTGTTTGTGTTTTGCAAAAGTCATATGTATGAATTTTATGTTTATTACCATAGGCAAAAAACAAACAAATTCACATTTTTTCATGTAAATGGACATTAAATATATGACTATAAAATTTTTGATATTTTCCAAACATTTTTTGCCTGAAACTATTAATATGTTTATAAAAGATTAGAAATGCCTGTACTATTTTTAAAATCATTTTTGGAGATCTTAAAAGACATGTTGTTAAAATATTATCACAAATACTATATGCAGTCCAAAACAGAGATAGAGTTCTGTTATGACTTGTGTCTAAATGTCCCCCCAATGCTTCATGTGGTCATAGACGGGAGTTTTTTGGAAGTGGCTGGATCTAGAGTGGTACAATCTAGAGTGATACAACATGGTACAATGCTAATCTCACGGGCTCTAGGACTAAGGATGTGATTATCACCTGCCCTAAGTTGCCTTGATAATAAAAGGGGCTCAACCCCATTGTGATTCTTTCCTGTTTACTTTTCTACCTTCTGGTGACTATGCATGCCTTCTCTACAAAGCCACCTTGCCCTAGAGCCAGTCAATTATGGACTGAAATATGTATACACTGTGAGCTAAATAATTCTTTCTTCCTGAAACTTTGGGTGTTGGAAATTTTGTTTCAGCATTGAGAAAAAAGAAATCAAGACAAGCTGTGTCACATAAATGAAAAGCAGAGAACACTGAAGGAAGAATATTATTGCAAAGGAGAAAAACAAACAGATCTTGAATGTAATGCATAAACTTACAAAAATGCATGCAATCACAGTTATAACAGTTTAAAAACAATTGAGTAAATATACTTATTATAACATCAAGCTGTCTGATTAATGTAATGTTCTCAGAGCTTACATCACATTTCTCATGAAAACATGCATTATTTCTCAAAGAAAATAGTTTCTAACTTATAATCAGCATTTTCATGGACCAAAGTATGTTATATAGGTAGATTTATAATCACTTTTGCCACATTTTATTATGATTAGATTTGAATATGGATCACACACATGTGTTTCCACACAGCACACAATAACAAACATATACACACTTACATACACCTCCTTAAATTAGTTAATCTGGGCTGTTCTGTGGCTGCGCTCAGAATCAAACTTCTTGCTGCTCTCTTGTGACATCACAGATTCCAAATAGATCTCAAAGAATGGTTCCAGGATTATCCGTCATCTCCACTCTGCCATCAGCCAGAAAACATGGAAGGAGGAAGGATTATTTTTAACTGCAAGAACCCTGCCTGGTGGTAATAAAAGGTCCTTCCACTTTTATCCCTTTAATAAGAACCTAGATTAACCCACATGAAAGAGGGATTGAGAGGATAACCAAGTGCAGGGTGTCAATACAGATGTAGGAAATTTTTATTTAGGGAGGGAGAATAAAGATTGGTGAGGATAATTTCACTTGAATTTCCCATCTTTCAGAAATTTGAAAAACTTCCAATTAAAATTTTTAATGCAAATATTTTCCAATGTTTAGAGAGACAACTTTGTCCTTTTATTCTTGAAGATTAGCACTTGATTTTTGAGTAGCATCTAAGAAGAAGAACAGTGTTCATTGTGATTTAAGATAAAATGTTTGACACATAGAAGAAATGTGTAATATTTTGTTAACTGATAAGATTCACCAGAAAAGTACATATTGTGCTGAATAAAGTTAGTCTCTATAGTGTCTCAACAAATGTTGACTAATTCACATAATTTGCGTTCATTCTTTTTTCTTTTCTTTTCTTTTTATTTGAGACAGAGCCTAGCTCTGTAAATCAGGCAGGACTTCAACTCACTACTAACTCAATGTGGCGTTAGTCTCATGGCAATCCTTGTGCCTCAGCCTTCAGTGTGTTAGGATTATGGGCAGGAAAAAAATAAAAGGTCCTAATTACATCTTTAAAATTTTCAGGAAACTTTTATTCCATTTTATTTTATTTATTGTATCTTATTTTTGGAATGAATTTCCAGGATGGCAAAAGAGGGCATTGTAACCTTAGTCGGCTGTGCTTTTGTCCAGAAGGTACAGTTTTCTTGAAAATATAATTTTAAAATTACAATAGCTCTTGTCTGCTTTCTAATATATCTTTATTTTCTTTTTTCTATGCTGTTTTTAGTTGATTGCATTCTTTTAATTGCATAGATATTCACTTGAGCTTTACTTGAGGTAATGGGAAAACATAGAAAATTTAATCAGTTCATTGTCCTTTACTCTTGGAAAAGCACAATCTGTAAAGCTGTAAGGTCCCTGTGTTATCGGGTAGCAACTTGAGTGAAGAAAGTCAGGGCAGGAAGAGCAGAGTTCTACATGGGGATATAACGCACTTCACAGTTACCCAATTTCTCAACTTTTTGTAGCTGGAACCCTAGGAAGCACGGTAGTTAAGGCTCACAACTACTACAGTAGTTTTAGACTTTTTTTTTTTTCTTTTCAGCACCAGAAATTAAACTCATGGCCTCACTCTCTCCAGGTAGTCACTATGACACTGAGGCATATCCCTAGCCCTCCTACAGTAATTTTAAAACTAATGAATCCTGTGTTAAAATGTGCTGCTCTTCCTTTCTCTGTATCAAAAAAAAAAAAAAATTAATGTGCCATGATGTGTATGATACTAACAAATGAAACAGATCAGAGTCAGATCAGAGTACTCAAAATATCCTTTCTTTGCTGAGATAAAAATTCAAAAAGTTAACACTTTCTTTTAAAATTTTATAAAATTTTATAAAATATCTCAAATTGTATCTTATTTTTGGAATGAATTTCCAGGATGGCAAAAGAGGGCATTGTAACCTTGATGGTGTATTTCCTGGTGTGAGTGAGCAGAACCATCAAATGCCCCATGATTGCAGGAAAATTGCATGAGATTTTCCCAGTGATTGTCTCATCTTAAAGATAAATTAATTTCCATGCAGTCATCCCAATCAGCACACATCATATGCACACACAGGGATAAATACAAAAGTCAATTTTTTAAAAACGGTGTACTTGCAGTGGTGAGGAACCAGGGCATGATCACCCTCATCAGACTCAGCTCTCTCCTGCACACCCCAAGTACTATCTCCTCAGCAGTCTGCCCTTCACTGACCTCTGCCATTCCATGGTCTTCACCCCCAAAATGATGGTGAATTTTCTGTGAAAAAAGAGTGCTATGTCCTACCCTGAACGCAAGTAACAACTCTACTTCTCTGTGTTTGTTACTTCAGCCTCACATGTTGGTTCCAAAATCACGTGACGCTTTGTTACTATTTAACCCCTTGCTTTTCAGTGCCATCATATCTTATCCTGTGCTTCTGACTCTAGCAGGTGTTTACATCTGGAGTATCACTGGATCTACAATTCACAGAGGCTTTATGTTGAAACTCACTTTGTGCAAAACCAATATGATTAACTGCTGTTTCTGTGATCTTTTTTCACTCTTAGAGCTATATTTCTCGAGTGTCTGCATCAGTGAATTACTGGTTTTGTTCTTTAGTGCATCTAACACCCTGATGGCCACATTACCCATCCTTACCTCCTACACCAACATCATAGCCATCATTTACTCCACTGTCAGCAGGTCCAAAGCCTTCAGCACTTGCAGCTATCATATCTCAGCTGTTTCTGTCTTCTTTGATTCTTGTGCATTCATGTACCTGAAAGGCTCATAAATCAGTTCCATGCACTGACAAAAAGTATTCTCTGTGTTTCATGCAGCTTTTGTACCTATGCGGAACCCAGTCACCTATAGCCAGAGAGATAAGGACGTCAAATGTGACCTGAATAAAATTCTGGACAGTAGAACAGACCCATTAATAGAATAAATGCTACATTGCCATATTAGACATGAGCCACTGTTTTTCCAGATATTTAACTTATGTTCATTTTTTGAGGTTTTAAATATTGGAAATGCTTGCCTATTTACACAACTCCATAATCCGCTCATATTTCCTTAAATTTCTATTGCAATTATTGTATCCGGGTAAATACAAAGAATAAAAGTAAAGTTACTTGATTATCAAAGAATATGTGGTTTTATACTTCAGCAATAACAAACCAAGGATAAAGATAAGATGATCATGATAGAAATAAGATATTGTTGAGATTTCATGAAATATCAAGAACTGTGCTTAGAACTTTGAATGGGCCCCTTCAATTAATACTTACATTATCCCTCAGGGATTGTTATTTAAAACATTAAATAATTAAAGTTTATTTGAGTGTCTGCCCAGGGTCTTCAACATAAGAAGACATTAAATGTACGAAGATTGTCTCCAGGAGCTGATATGATTCAAGGTGATTCTTGGCGGAGTTAATTCTGGAGAACTGTAAAGTATCTTGAAAATCCCCTTGTACACATTGAACATCTACAGTTTCCTACATGACTGTGTTGCTGGATAAATTTCACATTTTCATTGTTACTTCACCCAATACCATAAAAATGACCAAAAATTTACACTTAAGGAAAATAATAGAGCAAAATAATGACTATGTTTTTCTGTTGCCATCTCTCCCTCTGTGTTCTACTTGTCATCGGTTCCATCAGGCCTGATTTTTTCTGTTAGAATTGTTAAATATAGGGGTGGTCTGATTTGTGTATCAGCTCCCACAGGTTGCATGTTTAGAATTTAATTCTGGTGAGTTCATGTGATTAACCATCTTTTTTTTCTGTGATCTTACTCCTTTCCTCAAGCTTTCTCATTCTTGTACATGTCATTAAACTGAGAATTCTATGTAGGCTACATCTATTTGCCACAGGAAATTCACAGTTTGTGAACCTCCCACCATTAGTCTATATCTGTCCCTCACTGTTAAATTAAATGACTTATCTATGTAATGGATTTTTGCACTATGGCTGTTACACCCAGGACATTGAGTGAGCAAGGTGCCAAAATCTACATTGGAAAATGGACTTCTCAAGAATATAGCAACTTAAACTTACATCCCCAGGAGACTTCTCTTTGACATTTCACCCAAATAAACTATGAGGAAATGACTATAAGTTTTTGCTGGGCTGCTTATGATAAGGATGTAAGACTTAAACATCCTTTGCGTTTTTCCCACCTCACTGGACTGTAATCTCCAGTGGAATAGATAAACACTAAATATGTATTGATGGTTACAGCAGACTTTTCTGGTTTCCCTGTTTTTCTCAGACTGCCTTCCATTCAAAAAATATGAGACAAATAACTACTGCTATATAAACAGTATTTCATTGCAAATTAAAAGGATAAGCCTTTGTCTTTCATTCCAAAACGTTTCCACAATTCCAGTACCCAGGTAGCCTTTGAACAAGTCAGTCCATGAAGTTCTTGTCTTTGTGCTTAATCTTACCCAGGAGAACCACAGACTATATCAACAATTTAGCTTCCTGTCCCTGTTTCAGGAGTTTTGGGCAAAACTGAGTTCCTGTTCCCATAGTAACAACTCCACACCACATTCCTATGTTGGCTTTTCTCACTTACTAAATCTGTAAAACCTACTCGAAATCAAAGGATTAAAGCTTTGCATCTCATACTATAAAGCAATTTTTAAGTAAATTCAATTACAAGTACTGCAATTATTATCAAAAATTGTATTTTGTCAATGTTTTCCTTAAGAACTTTAAAAGCAATTTTTATTTCTAAACAAATAATCTTTCAGAACCTAAATAAACTTTATAAAGAACACCTTTCCATTCTACCTCGACGTTCGTTATTTATTTATTTATTTATTTATTTATTTTGGTACCGACAAATTGAATACATGACTTCAGTTTGGCCAGGCAGGCCAACTTGAGCTAAATCCCTGGTCCCCCTCTTTTGTTTCTAGAAGAAAAGGAAGCCATCATCACTCTGATCTCTGCTTTAAGGACCATAGGCAATGACTACCACAGCTCTCATTCAATAGCCACTATTCCAAGCATTTCTCTCTCAGTCTCTGTCTCTGTCTCTGCCTCTGTGTCTCTGTGTCTCTGTCTCTCTTTCTCTCTGTCTCTCTCTTTGCCTCTATATTTCTTTCTCTTCCAGGCTCTGGGTAAAACCTACAATTCACACGTGCTGGATAAAGATACTGAGCTACATCCTCAACACTTGCATTTCGGTTATATGACAAATCAGGGTATTTAATAGACTTGATGGAAGCCCAAATCCAGCCTCAGTAGTTCACAAGCAAATGAAAAGTAAAATTTTCCAATGCTCCATAGTAGACTGGTTCTTAGGGCTGTGGTAACACACTTCAACACGCTGACTGACTTTATACAACTAAACTTTGCTTTGTTTTGTAGTGCTCAAGGCTAGCAATCAGAAATCAAAGTGTCAGTAAGGGTTTGAAGCAGTTTACAAAAATTCTGTCTTTCAGTAACAATACAGAAAATAAGAATGATGATATAGTAACAACGTTTGAAATATGAAGCAAGTGACTTTGCCTTATGTAATGCAATATTTATATTATTACTTTATGTTGTGAATATCTTCATTACTATAAATAAAATAAGGTAAAAGTCCTTATCATAAGTATAAAATGTATAATATTTTACTAAACCCCTTAAAGAACAATTACTTAACTATACTTTCAAGAAATCAAAACTTAAAAGAGATTTTACAATCTATATAAAATTCTAAACACAATAAATGACCAGGTCTTACATTCAGGAAGATTGGCTTTAGTAACCATGAAATTATTCACACTGTGACTTTGACAGTGTGAAATGTGAGTAGATTTTAGGATCTCAGAGCATTCCCTTCCATGTGGTGAGCTTAGTCACTTCCCAATAGGACTGTGTTGCTATGTTCTAAGTGTCTTTAATACTATTTTCAATTTTATTTTCAGACTTAATAAAAATCTTTCATATCTGTTCTGATCAAAGCAAAATCATACAGAACAAAGACATTTTTCATTACATTAACCATCTATTAAAAATATCTGAAAAGAGATTGTTTCATCCCATGATTACTATGAGGAAATGTTGAAAACAAATTTTATAAACATATACTGATCCACCTGGACAGCAAATATATTTTTTTAATTTTATTTAAAGAAAAAACAGTTAAAGGGTACAAGTAATATAGAATTTCAAAAAGTAAACAGTAAGAAACCACTAGTTAATAGATTACATATTGTCAGCTTAGAAATAGTTGTTCAAGTTACAAAATTAAAGAATACAAAGTGGACATTCAAACAATGGGACTGCAAACAGTTGTGTTCAATGATTTAATAAAAACTTAGTAATATGTTCATCTATCCTACACGTCTAAACACACTTGCAATAGTATCCTTTAGAGCACTTTTTTTCCTCTCTTTTTTACTAAAACATTTACATATTTGGGGTTTTATTACTCCCACAGTTCTTATTAATTTTTTTAGAAGAGAATAAAACCAAATGTCACAAAACAAAGCAGTCAATCAAAACAAAGAATGGGCATAGTATATGTTGTAAAAACAGAATACAAGGTAATCAATATAGTGGTTAACATAATGCCTCTTGGTACCTTAAAAAGAATTGCCTGTATCATCAGGTATAATAAAATTGAACAAAACAGTACAGAACAAAACCAATAAAACTTAAACATTGGTGACATTAGTGGACTTCAAAAGAACATAATAGTCAAACCAGGATGGGCATCATTGTCAATCTTATTGCCTTCAAAGTACGCCTATACCCTCAAATTGATACTCTCAAACAAAACAATAGAGTAAAATCAGTCAAAACAAGGTGGTGAGAGTAATACAGGGCTTCAAATAAAGTTAACAGAAAATCAAAAAAGTTACTATAATATATCCTGAAAAATTTTTTAAATTTTTTCTTTAATTAAAAAAAATAATGAAATAAACTTTTAAAAAGAAGGGAAATTGAGATAAAAGAGGACATAACAACATAACAATACAGGTAAAAACAGAACAATTTAAGCAACATAGTGTTTCACCACAAGATAACCAGACTACAGCAGTTACCATAGTGTCTTTTTCCTTGAAATATTTGAGTATAGGGGCTGGGGATTTAGCTCAGCGGCATAAGCACCTACCTTGCAAGCAAGTGGTCGTGAGTTTGATCCCCAGTACTGATAAAAAAAAATATTTGAGTATAACTTCATACACTATAGCATCAAGCATATTAAGACAGTGTGAAACCATTCAAGAGGATCATAGTATTACAAGGTATTTAGAACCAGCTAAAAGAGAGCAAATTATTAACAGTTGGGGTTTGTCTCAGTTTTACCTTTTAGACTAGTTTTATGTTCAAGATGTGCTTTCTCTTCTCATTCTGTTTCCTGTATGCCTTTGGGTATTAGATAACCTGTGATACATTTCAGATGAACCAAATGATGTTTTGATGTAAATATGAATAGTGAAATGATTCTATATAAATTCAAGAAGTGAAATGACTACAATTAAGCAGATTAACACATTAATTGTTAAAGTTATTTATTTTGGTTAATTAAATCACTTTACTATTCCCTCTTGACAAATTTCCATCATATCACAATGCTAACCACAGCCATCATTCTCTGTCTTCCTGTTTATTGGTCCCCACTCATACCTGGTATGGAGTGTTAGTTAAAGGAAACGACACTGAAATTTTAACTACGTATTGTGTACCTGACAGGCATTATGCTAAGTGAAATCCACAAAAACTGAAAAACTAGTAAGTAATTTCCCTAGTGTGTGAAATCTGTGACTGTAAAGGACATCC